CGATCGTAATTTAATAGATTCCCAGCCCCTTCTTGATCCCGTGCACAGCGTAGGCGCAAAAAAGAGGAGAATTTCACCGCGACAGACTAGAAGCTGGCCGGGTGACTTTAATGAGTTCTCTCCGCGTGTCCGCTAACCACTCGCGACTAATCTTACGGCGATTCCACGGAGAAAGATATTTCACCGACACGGCAAATCGCCGGTTACCATGGTGGTGACAGCGGGGGAAGATCTGTCACGTGGAAAATTGAACTTTTCTGTTACAACGAAACGCCGTTGCGACAGCGATAAAATTCCATCTCGGCGTAACCAAATTACGTCACCGTCCGTATATCGAGCAGACGGCAATCGATACATCGTTTGCAACAAGTCTCGTTGCTGCCCAAACAAATCTTTCGCCGTCTAAACGAATCATTTTGCTGTCGCTCGAGTCGAAATTTTACCCCTACATTAAGTTTTTAAATGTAAAAAAAACGTAAGGTAACTTTCCATTCCTAGCATCAAAGATGCGCGATAGAAGACCTTTGAAGACTCAATGTAGAACTGAAATTTCGACTCGGGTGGTAACTGACAATTTGCTAGCGAAATATGTTTCTCCGCGCCGCTGACGAAATAGTAACGAGCTGAACAATTTCATCTAGCCTGTATATTCGTCAGCCACTAGCTTTACACTCAGGTCGGCTGGATGCACTTCTACTCGGGAAGAGCGTCCATTTTGTGCCCCCGTGTAATTGTCAGTTAGAGGGACGCTCTCTTCCCTTCTAAATAAATCTTTTATCATTGTATATTTCCATGTAAATAAATATATGCTCTCTAGAACGAGTTCTTTTTGTCGAAAACGTCAATTTAAAATGGAGAACACTTGTCATCCACGCGACCACTCCAGGGGGGTAAACGAGATTAACGTGGCGGACACTTCCGCCGCGCGTTCCCGCTTATCTCGCAACGAGAGAAAGTAGTCAGCCGGCGCGCGCGCCGACTTTCGAAGTCGTTCGCGGGAACCGACTGACGGATCGTGCACGAGAAAGAGAGAGAGAGAGAGGAGAGATCAGCGTGAAATTCTGTTAGCGGCCCATTGACTTACGCGGATCTCCCCGACGAAACGGCGAAACGCGGCGCGGAAGAATCCAATAAACGGAAAACGAATTTGCTATTAGGGTCGCGTCTGATCTGCTTGCGGGCCAATGAGGCGGAGCAACCCTTATATCAACCCTCCCTGGTATCGCGTCTCTCACACCGACGATAATAAATCGAATCATACTCCGGGAGCCAGCGGGTGTTTGCCGAGCCATTAGGGTCGCTTACTCGACGACTGTCTCTCCTCGGAGCGTGATACGCTCGTCGGGGTTCCCCGCTCGCGCATTTCAATCAATCGCAAAGAGCGTGCGCGCAACACCGTTCTTTCGCGTTGTTTTTTTCACCGTGCCATTCTCAGCGTAGGATTCACACCGGATAACTAGGATTTCAACCAGTCAATTCCTAATTCTGCTTGCGACCAGATTTACTCCCCCCTCTCTCTTCCTCTCTTTCTATCTTCCCCTAAAGTACATAAATCTAAAGCAAAGTTCCGATTGGTTCTTCAGTTCAAATTCACATCTTACGTTTACGGTTTCCGGCAATTCGTGCGCGAAAGTCCCAAAAGCGCGAGCGATTTCGCGATTCGGCAAGCCAGTTCCGACGGGTGAGGCTCGCTCATTAGGCGATAGTTGAAATCCTTTTACGAGACACCGGGCTGAAAATTCTCGAGTGTCGCTTGAAACGCACCGCGAACACAACGAGCACTCCGCTCGTGCATTTCGCGGAAGCGGACGGAGAGCCATTCATAATCGGAGAGCCATTGTCTTAGGTTGCGGCGAAGTGCCTGACGTTCGCCAGGCCGATGGCAAAGGCTGTCGTTAACGATAGCACCGAGACGCCCACTCGACAATCAGAGCGTCCTTTTGGAATCCCTCTTGCCTCCGCCGGCTGCGCGTCCAACGACTCGCGGAAAGACCACCCCCGTCGAATGAGATTTGCGTATTGTTGAGATTCCAAAATGACGTCGTTCCTCGAGATTTCCAGTATCCGCTATCCGGTGTTATTCTCACCGTGCGTGCGCGAAAATAGAAAATCGCCGGTGTCGCACGCGAAGATAGCCGAGCCGCAGCGCGCGATCCTCCCTCCGCCGGGTACGATTAGACGAGATTATCCCGGGAACTATGGCGATTGTTTCACACCGAGAATTTTTATGCGTCCCCCGTAATCAATGGCATGCCGGCGGAGGCGGCCGAGATACGTATCGTAGATCCGACGATCGCGGGTGTGTCGCGCCCGTCACGAAGCGATGGCGGTAATTCCGACCACCGTGGCGTTGGTACATTGTGAGCCCGACGCAATCTGCTCCGTAGGATCTGCCTCGGTGCCATGCTGGTAGCCCACTCGACCAGTTCGTTAGCCAATCACGCAGGTATCGTCGTCGTTCGTCGTCATCGTCGTCATCCCCCGGGTCCTCTCTATCTATCTATCTCTCTCTCTCTCTCTCTTCAAACCCGAGAAGGGCGTCCGGGTGAGATGCAAGCGATACGACGCTGTTTCCTCCTTCTGGACCCCTCCTTCCTTCGACGCTTCGGTCGCTTTGCTTTTGTCGTTGCGTCCATTGAGAATGCTCAACTGTCATTCGTGTCTCAGATAGCGCATTCGTTCGAGCCGCCTCGAGTCGCTTGAGTGTACAACACTTGCGCGGCTACTGACAAAATGTTTGTCACGCGTCTCGCTTTCTCTCTCTCTCTCTCTCTCTCTCTCTCTCTGTCTCTCTCTCTCTCTAAAAAGTAAAATCTCCCTAAAAATAATTACACTCGAATATCGCATTACGTATGAATTATTCAAAGTAGCGTCAAAGTCGCCATACTCGGTATTTCTTTCTTGCATTTTTTGCGACGGCCTGTGTGCGCTTTGAGCCGTACACGGTTTTAAATGTCCTTGTCTTTCCTCCTCGTCGTTCCGCGCAAGTTTTCACTCGGCTTAAATCATTTTACTTCATTTTTCTCTCAGTTCGCTGCCGCGAACTTTCTCCCTTTCGTGTTATAATGCCGCGACTCTTTTTGCTCGTCGTGTCCGGCAGACCCCCTCAAGCACGGATAAGAGGAAAAGAGAGAGAGAAAGAGAGAGAGAGAGAGAGAGAGAGAGAAAGAGCATCGATCGTCCAGTAAACAACCGCCTCGCGTGCCAACCGAGGTCTTAAACCGGCGCGATCGCGCGGGCGTACACTTCCCGCAGAAAGGCTTCGCCGCGAATGACCCTGTTTTCTCGATCACCCGACTCGCACACGTCGTCGATCATCGCGTCTATAAAGTCGGATAAGAAACTCGCGTCTTGGAAAAGCTCACCGGCCCCGAGAAGGCTCGTGAGAAGATTAGGCCACATCCGATCGGGAATATTTCGAGGTCCCCCATTCCCCCTCCCCTTACCCCTCTCTCTATTAACATCGCGAGTTCACCGCTCGCTCGTGCGTGAAGCGACAGCACGAAAATTCGGCGCGTAAAATACTCCCGCGGCCGAGCGACCGTCGGGCGATTCCCCTGCCGCCCCCTCGGCCCCCGGGGCCGGTCGCGGATTCCACCATTCCGCCTTCGACTTTACGATCCGGCTTCCAACCCGGAGACACTGGCGAGGCGCAGTTTTCCAAGCGCTCCTTTTTATTGGTCCACGACGAGGACACACAGGTCGTATATACGCGGCGCGGCGCTCGTTCGGTCGGCGTGCCCGCCGCGAGAGAGTAGAGAGCCCGGCGTCGTCGTCGTTTCCAGCGGCAGCTGGGAGCGAACCGCGACTTCGGTCCTCTGGATGCTCGTGTATTCCGGGGTGTACTCTCTGCCTCCCTCCCTCTCTCCCCCATCCCGCCTCACGGCACCCCTGTGACCCCCCTCATAAGCGGATTACGTGGGTCCCGAAACGAGCCAAGCGAGGCTCGATGGCACGAGGAAGGTAGAGAGCGTGGGGTGGGCCGATGGAGGGAGGGGGGGGGGGCAGAGGGGAGCTGTTCAAAATTACGCTATCGCGGCCTCGCAACGCTCCACACCCCTCCACCTTTGCCGTGAAAGAGAGAGAGAAAGAGGAAGCAGCGAGATCCCCCTTCCCGTCCGTCGCGTACACGGCAACCCCCTCGGTCTCTTCTTCGTGGAAAGCACCGACGCGAGCGAAGGCGCTCCATATTTGAAGAAGAGGAAGAAGACATCGTCGTCGACGACCGTTCCGTGCGATTGGCGAACGTATTGCGAGGCGATATCGATGTCTTCTACTTCGCGACGGCGGGACGGCCCACTCCGGCGGTTCCCTCGCTCGTTCCTTCCCTCATCCAATCGCGGTTTTATCGCACACACGCGCGAGGAAAAGATCGGATCATATTCCGGAAAAATTAAACGTTCTCGATGCGAGCTTGATTTCCCGTCTTTCGGTCGCCTCCTTTCCGCCATTCCCCGCTGCATCTGCGAGCTCGTCGCCGCTCCGGTTTTTGGAGTGATCACATACGCATAAGGTCGAAAGTCGCGCAAGTACTTCTAATTATGATAAAGTCATAATGACACTATATCATAACAACTTTGGTCTTATGTGTACATGTGTGAGACTGAAAATCGTGCAATTTTCGATCCAGTATATAGTAACAAAGTGTAGATGGCGCAGTGTGCACATCATACCGACGATCGTCGCGTTTTATGCGCGAGATGTAAAACCATCGGCTACAACCTTGCACAGTCAGCGCGAGGAACTATCGAGCGGTTTAATGAACCGAGATCGACCCGCCGCCGGCGACCATGACGACGACGACGGTCGCGCGAGCGTGGCCGGCGAATTTCTGTATCGCCGCTCTTTCCTGAACGCCGCGATTTTACGAGCGCTCGTAACCGTAGATCGAGGAAGGGTAGGAGGGGAGGGTCGGGGGTACGCGACGAAACGAAAGCCCGCCGGGATTTATGAGAGACGCGATAATTAACATCGGGCGCTTCCTTTTTCTCGTGTCGCAGGAATGAATCAACGCAAGCAGCGTCGCGAGCGGACTACCTTCACCAGGTCTCAGCTGGATGTGCTCGAGGGACTGTTCTTGAAAACGAGGTATCCGGACATCTTTATGCGAGAGGAGGTTGCTCTCAAGATCAACTTGCCGGAATCACGAGTCCAGGTAATTACCTCGCGTCTCCTTCTCCCTCTTCTCCTCCCCGCACCGCGGACTTTTCTCTCGCGTAATCGCCGCCGACAACGGCCGGCGTAATGACAACGTTTATTGTTGGACGCGACGGACGTCTATTTTACAATGAACCCTCTGATTCTTTTGATAATTAATAACCTTATAAATTAGCACTTCATTCCAGTGTAAATAAAAATTTGGTTTCTCGTCGGCGGGAAGGCTAACTTAATTGACACACGCGACGGACGGGTCTCGTAACTCCCGGCGAACACGAGATCGCCGATATGGCCGTTTTCGCGCATTAACGCACGATTGACGACGATCCGTGATGACGTCGAGCCACATTGTGTTGGAGGAGATGCGCGATGTAAAAAAAAAGTGGTGTGTACCATTGTGCGTATAATGGTGGCGGAATAGCGGAAGAACTGACGAAACTTTTGCTCCAGAAATTAACGCGAAAATTTCAACACAGTATTGGTGAAAGATTTGCTCCGATTGATATAAACGTGCTGTTGGAAGTTCTGTTGGAAATTCAACGGCAGATTTTTCGTGTACTTTGTCATTTTAATGATCGACGCCTCCGTGATTTGAATTACACGCGCACACCGAACAGACTTAGTGGTTACGTTTGGCCACCCGAGGATCCTGAGTGCGTTATACAGGATCTTGCAGTGTCCCTTGTGTCGAGCGTACGAGTGTAAACGCGCGGCCGTCTCGAATGCGCGGCGAAAACGAGAGCGAAGAAGGGGAGGCAAGAGAGGAGGCGACGGAGAGTGAATGAGAGAACGAGTTGAGAGAAACAGAAAGGAAGAGAGAGAGAGAGAGAGAGAGAGAGAGCGAGCACACTTCGTGCTCCCGCAATCGGCCGCGAGATTTAAGGTATTTACACAACGCGACGTTCGCGCCCTACGTCCTTCCATTTCGCCATTGTCCCAGCCCAGGGCTCTCACGTACATTGATAGATGTGCCGACGAGCTCGTTGACGCTTTTATTGCGGTCCCTGTGACATCTTTATTTCGCGGCGGGGCGCTACCGAGTCACGATCTCGCGACTCTCTCTCTCTCTTTCGGGGGGGAGGGGGCTTTCGAGCTCGTGCCTTGAATTCCGAGTTTCAATCCACCGCGACCCGTCGCTGTACGATGCGAGCGGATAAATCTCGATATCACGTGTCGGAAGTGGTATGGGAAGGGGCACAGAATCCGGCTCGAAATTGTCGTCAGATATACCTGATACTGTACAAAGTCCTAACTAGGTGAAGTAATCTTTACTATGGTAAATATAATCATGTACCGATAATAGTTGAATAAGGGAGATTTTCGTAAGGTTATAATAATTGTACTGAAAAATCGATTTAGTTGACTCGAACAAAATTTACTTGGGATATGCTCAAATAAAACTTTTGGTTGTGAAAGCCAAAGGTTTGGTTCTCTGAGACGAAAATGAAAAAGGTTCGGTTTAAAAAACCAAATTTTGGTCCTCACTACCAAAACATTTGCTCGCTCATATCGAAACAAGAATTTTGAGTCAACTAAAATGGGGCTTTGAGTGTAATATAATAATATAACCCGATGAAAACATTTACACGAACTCTGATTAAGGTCCTGATTACCACGCAGCGTTAAACTGACTTCTTATATTTATTCAGATGAAAAAAGGAACACATTTGCGATCATTCCTTTACCCAATTCTATTCTATTCTATTCTACAGACTTCAAAGTATACTCATGATTTTCTACAAAATTTCTTTCAGAAGTTTGACAAATTTTCAATAAACGAGGACGCAAATGACCGCAGCGTGCCAAAAAGACGTGTGCATCTTTAGGGTGAAGGTCGGCCCGATCGTGGGATAAATTTCCATTCGGCCGAGAGATCTCGCTCCGTTCGGCTGCGGAATCGAGCGTTTCATTCGCGATCGCGGCAGATCTGACATCTCGCTTGCTTATCTTTTCGCGCTCAGGTCATCGGCGATTCAGGCGCGGCAGGTATCGCGTAACGAGCGCGGCCCGCGGGAATCGTGAAATATATAGGACAAAAGCGAGAGGAAATTCAGACCCCCGCCGGAGTTTCCGCGCGCGCGAAGTTAAGCCGCCGTGAATGGCCGGCGCAACTGCGAAAGGGTGCACGCGCGCGGGGATCGCGTACGGTACGTGCACGTGTACGCTGTTGCACGGTAGTCGTATGCGCATTTGCGCGCACAGCGACGGTATACAATCGGTATACGGCGGAGTTTATCTGTATGTACGCGCGCGCAACGCTCACACACGCAGGCACACGTGCGTGCAGTAGCAGTTCGGCTGTAGCGTACGCGCGTTTCCGAGTTACAGTATCCGCACGAACGAATAATAATATCTGGAGGAGGGATGCTATCTGGAAGTTTTAAAAAGGGGGGCCCGATGAGGAGGAAGAAGGGGACGACGGGGTGGCGAAGGTCTCTCACACATGCAGAGGACGGGCGTGCGTGTAGAGCGCCGCGGATAGAAGTATCACGCGGTAGTGCGGTGTGCGAGGCACAACATATCGTTGATTTGTTCCTGGATTATAGCCCCCAGCTCTATCTCGCCGGCGCGAGAGTTCTATACGCGCGCTCCTCTCGTCGGAGAGAACCACGCAGCTGCGTACGTCGCGTCGGTTTGTTCTCTCTCTCTCTCTCTCTTTGAATGCTTCGTCGTTCCTATGTCACTTATGAGCCGAAACGAAAAATGTTGTTTCGTCGATGGCAGGCAAAAAAAGCAAGACGAACGCGATTCCCTCGCGCGAGTGGAAAGAGAAACCGGCCGCTCTCGAGGGTTTTATGCGGATGAAACTATCGCCGGGCTCGCTCGGGCCGTTTATCGCCGCGTGCCTCGAGTGCCGTCGTCTCGCTGAATTCCGCAGTCGGAGGTTCGCGATGTAAATATACCGTACCGGGTAGAGAGTCGCGTTCGATTCGGTATCGTGAGGGAGTTGATGTAAACCCATAGTCTCGTATGACCGAACTTGATCCCGATATTCTGCCGCTTCTTGAGTCTGCTAGGTGTCTCAGAAAGTGACTCCGCTTCTCTTTGTTTCATATCATCGAACGCTATACGAAAAGTTTAAGCTCGTTAATCGACTGAGCGTGCGGGCTAATGAATTTCCTATAATTGTATCGATTCCCTTAATATATTTCAAAGTATGCTCAGAAATAAATTAAGTTCTCTGCTCATAGAAATGTATTTTTTTTATTCCTTCTCGTCTCTATAAACACTACTATATATCGGTTTTTGCTTTTCTTTTTATGTGAAAGGGGATCTTTTCTCGTACGTGTTGTAAATGAACAAATAAATGACTGTTAACGAATTTCCCTATGTTCTTCTTGTCATATCACAAAAAAATAATGTTGAACAAAAATTTTATCGGCGCAGCTAATCGTGGCTGAAGATGTTTTACCGCTGAAAATTTGCTGCTATAATTAGAACTTTGGTTACTATTTGGGCATCGTCGTATGTCTATACGGATGAATAAATAAATAAAGGAAAGCAAATAGCAAGCGAGACGTAAGACGCGTGCGATACTTGAATAATCGCGAGCGCGATGTCGAGCGCGAGGAACAAAACGAGGATCAAACACAATCGTCAAACAAATTTTGGTGCGGCTCTCGCACACAAAACGCCGTTTTCCTGCATCAATCGTGCGTGCCGGACGATGACACGTTCCTCTCCGACGGATAGGTGTTATTCCCCCCGGTGGGGTCGTATTAATAGTACAAATAAGAAAATATATTTGTCATAACAGACATAGTGTCAACGCAGCTGCGCCGCCCTCCTCCCCTTACTGTCCCGGCCAGCGGGGTGGTTTTCCGCTAGCTGGATGTAAACCAGATGGTGGCGCAATTTGCACCTCGGCCTCGTCGACGGGCGTGAAACCGTCGGTGGTGGTTGCCCCGGGGGTCTTCGGATGCCATCGCGGCCTGTTTGGTTGGTTTTTGGGGTGGCCCTCTCTGTCTCCTCTCTCTCTCTCTCTCTCTTTCGCGTCTGTAGCTTCCGAAGGGGGTGTCGTTGTGCAAACACGGCGCTATAATGGGATCGTTCTCTGTCTGTCGCGCTGACCTCGACGTCGATCCGTCTTCCTCGCCTCGCCCGAGACCGGCGGGGGCTCGTTTCGCCGCGCGTTGATACGCAATATCCGCGCGCATGACGCGCCCGGACAGATTTCCGCACCCCATCGCGCCCCGTCGAGCCGCGTCGCCTCGCCGAGGATGACTTTTGCGAAGCGTATGGATCCGCCTATCGCGCCTCGCCACGGAGAAAAGCGGAAGACAAACAAGCGGGACGACGACTCTCGCGGCGACGAGTAATTATAGCTTCCCTGAGTCAACGCAAAGTCGCTCCCCGAGACGTTACACAGAGAAAGCATTGGGTAGATATGAAATATTTTTACACGAGGAGCGAATAATTTAGGATCCGCGCGAACTGTAGAAATGTCTCATGGTTTACCCGGAGATGCTTAGATTCCGACTGGGATATCCAAAGTTGCTCCAAAATAGGTTATCCCAAACGTGGGATGAAATCTTTTTCCTGCGATGATGATTGATGCGCTGCTGATCGTCCGCTGCTGCATGAGATTGTCATCGTCAGAGTCGAATGAGGACTTGATCGAATATCAGATTAGAAGATCAATATGTGTAATACATAAACGAGATATATAATAGATATAAATAATGGATAAACGAGGTTATATTTTTAATGATATTATGCTTAATAAAATATTCGGAGCGTATTTGTGTGTTTGTTAAGTGTAACTTACACCTAAAATTTTCGTATCGCTAACCTTTCCGAACAATTCCACGGGTGCCTGGAATCTACAATTATTTTGGGAAATCTGACTTGAATTAGATCTCAAGACTATTCTGAGCATTTCTATGCGGGGGTAAATAATCGTTTGGAGCGCGATCTAATGGATCCGAGGAATGGCGAACGTCACCGTCTATCCTCCCGACGTCGTCGCCGAGACAAAAGGCGAGAGGGTTACGCGCACGGCTCCTCGGCTTCTGCCTTCGGCCGGCGAACGTGCGCGGTATTGCAGCTCGAAATCCCCTGTGCGCTTCAGCGATTCGCGCTCTCCGTAACAACTGTTACAATGCCGCCGATAATAACAACAACGATGACGGGTCCCGCTTTTAAAGGCGCGGGCATAGATTCATAGGATCGCACCCCTGGCCACATTGTGCCCCGGGATTATAGAGGGATGCGTGAGGGGGAGTATTACGAGGGAGGAGGGAGAGGGGCGGTCACAACGCACTCGCGAGCTTGCGGCCTACGAGGGGTTGCTTTTTGTCCTTCCCTGCCCGTCCCTTTTCCAGAGAGAAAAATCCGCGTACGTGTGTGCGCATCTTTCGGTTTGCCGCACGCGCACGTGTGTGCGTGTCTACGTGTGTGTGTGTGTGTGTGTGTGAGTCCGTAGCACAACTACGTGAAGGCTTACGCGTGTATGCGGTACCATGTGCGTATTCACGAACGAGATACGTACACATACACGCACGCATGCACACACGCACGCATTCGCAGGCAGAACCAACTATTTGATCTCGAACATCGGGGTGAAAATAACCCTGGCTCGTACGACGGGCTCTGATTCGCGCATGCGTGCCGACGTACTACACCGTAGTCACCGAGGATCCCAGGGGATGCTCCAATACACGCGTGTCGGGACGTCGTACACGCGCCCTCCCCGTACGGCTCCTCCCTTCGAGTCCTTGTTATTGTTGCGATTTAATGAAATGTTACGCCCGCTCGCCCGCGATTACTTTCCCATTGCACCGATTAACTCCCCATTCGGTCGGCCTAGCGGCGGGACAGTGGGACACCTTTCCTCCCTGACGGTCCCTGGGGCTACGGGGCTTCCGTCGGCTGCCTCTCGCGGCAGACTTTTATGGCTCGTTGAAAGCTCGCCGAGATATCGGGCGATGCCTATCAAGGGGAGTTTAATTGATTTCCAGACCGCGTCGCGTATCTTTGAATTCTCCCGCCTCGGAGGAATTAATTTATCGCGGTGACCCCCGCGTACAAATTTTCCCCGATTTTCTCATGTACAGCGCAGACTTCGATTAGAATATCTGAAATTGTCCGAAATTGGCTATCTCGTTACGAAATGGGATTCCCAGTTGGGATTCACAATCGTGTCATCGGCAGAATCGAGTGACAGTTTGAACAAATGTCAGATCAGCAAGTTAATGTGAATAGGGTCATATTTTTAGATTAATAAATGGAGTTGTATTTTTAATGTTACTGGGCTTGATAAGGCGCGGGCGTAGCGTATGTACATGTGTGTATACAAAAGACTCCAGCATTAATCCGTAAGTGGGCATTTTGAGGAGGGAAGCAACTGCTGTTTATCCTCAAACTGAGCTTCTCAAGTGTTATTAATTTCTATTTCACTATTTCGCTAAGTCCGAGAATAAATGATGGAGGCAAGTTGCTGAAAGTCCGTCGAAAACGAAACGGAGAAATATTGATTAGTTCGTGCGGACGGAATGGTTCGTCCGTCTGTTTTACGTTCGCCGCAAGTCCTTCGTCTCTGCGCAAATCCTTCCGCAACTTCACGGCGCCCCCCGGCCCCTTTCTCTGTTGCAGGTCTGGTTCAAGAATCGCCGGGCGAAATGCAGACAGCAGATGCAACAGCAACAGACGCCACCCCCGACGAAGAGCTCGCCCAGATCGAGCCAGAGTCACAGCAGCGGCAGCAACGCGAGCAACAGGGTGCCGAGCAGCACGTCGACGACGACGTCCAGCAGACGATCCCCGCCGGACTCGCCGGCGCAGGGAAGAGAGGCGCCGGCGGCCGGCAGTTCGCCGCTTCTCACGACGTCGACGACGTATCCGCGAATGGGGACGACGCCGACCGGCGGCAGCGCGGGCAACAGCAACCTGACGACACCGTCGCCGCCGTTGACGCCCGGCACCGGCCAACCGCAACCGCCGTCCTACTCCACCCAGGTCAATCAGATCCACCACGGCGAGTACCATCCGACCGGGTTCGCCTGGACACCGGCCTCCGCCAGCACCACCGCCGTAAACCCGAGCCAATACGCCGGTCAGAACTATAACGCCTATCAGGCGCCGTACAGCGGCGATTACTACCAGGCCCAGATCTCGCACATGCATCACAGTCCGCAGACCAACTACCATCATCACCACCCGCAGTACCATCCGAACATGCCGCTTACCTCGTCCATGTCTCACCTGACCAGCCACCACGTGAACCCGGCCGGTGGTAACGAGATCGTCGCCTCGTCGGCCGACGCCGACGGTTACGTCCTGCCCGATCAGAGATACTCGACGATGGCATAGCGGTCCGCCGGCAGATCCTCCTCCGGGATTTTCCATCGGAGCCAGGACACCGTGAACGCCGTCACCAGCTCTTCGTCGTCTTACCATTGGCGGCTCAACGCCACGGAGAATTGCGACGAGATGAACGGCAACTTGGACTCTGACGACAATTGATGCGCCGGGACTGCAGCGGGAGGGAGGGGAGGAGGGAGTTCTCCGAGGAGGCGACGACGAAGATCGACGCACCCGGGATTTCTCGGCCACGGAGGCGGATGATCGGTACTCGTTGCACACGCAGGCGTGAGACAGCGCGAATTCGCGCGAGTTTCTAAAAGGTGTGTCGTCCCCGCTTATTGTTCAACGGCGGATCGCGCGAACAATGGGCCGCGGCACGACGAGAATTTCGCCGTACGTTTCACCGTACGTTTCTCCGTACGTGATTGGTAATTTATAATTTGCAAAAGAAGAGGGAAACATTCAGCTGTTCTTATATTTATGTATTTTAGACACGTAATGAACGTGTAAATTCGAACGCGCGGTGTTCAAATATTCGCTGATATCCTTCAGTTGAGATTCTTATACATATTCGAGACGACTGTATTTATACTTATCCAAGTATCTATACTTATCCGTCTTTATAATTATCCAAGTACTCTTTCAATCTGACAACGAAACTGAGTTCCCGAGTCTTCCGATGAGTTTTAATTCACGATATTATCGGACACTTTATTTACTTCGTCCATCCAAAGTATCGCGCGGATCGCGAAATCGCTCGCGAATAAAATGCACTGTGGAAATGCACGATAGAGACGAATACCCACAACTCATCGGACCGCCGGACGTCGTCCGATCGCCAACACGGTAATTTCACGTTCGTTTTACCCGAAAGATAAATTACTCGCGTCTCACGTTAACGCACTCAGCTTCGCGCTTGTACCGTCACCAAGCGAGATAAGATCAGACGTGATTCGCTAAAACCCTATCAGAAATCGAACATAGACAATCTGCAAGATTACTAATCGGCGATTACAGAAAAGTAATATCTGCTGAATCGAGTATCTTGGTATCGAGTATTGTAAGTATCGCCGCTCACGTGTTTCTCAACGGCGAACGATGTTACTTCATCGAAGATGTAAATTTCACTTCTTTTTTTTAACAATAAATTCCTATTTTACTAAATTTATCTTCTAAATTTCTTACTTTAAATTTATCTTAACTCTCCTACTTTTAAAAAATGCTGAATACTACGGATCATTTAGAGGCAGCCTCGAAACGCGTAAGAAGTAAGCGGCATACGCAATGAGAGTTTAATTTTCTTCGATAAAATTCCAAGGAAAGAGAGGGAAAGTTACGGAGTATCTAAGTCTGTCCTCGCGCGCGAGGCTAAAGGAACGTATTTACGGGAATAATCTCAAATCTCTCTCGAATACGGAAAAAATTTCGCGGCAGCATGCGTGTTAATTGTGCACACCGTACATCGCGATTTCTTTTAAGGTTTCTAGTTCGTATACTTTGTATTTTTAAGATTAAACGGACGAGTACTCATCACTGCCGCCATTATCATTAGTATTATCGTCACAGTCCTTATTATTACGATTAACATTGTATTCGTAATTATCCATATCAAGTACACGGCCAGTAGCCGGAAGATTCTTGTAAATAAACAACGTAAAAAAAATAAATCACGGTCGCGCGTAAACGGGGGAGAGGCAAGATGGAAGGATCCTCGCCTCGGTGACACGGGACTCCCCGGACATAACGTGAAGTGAGAGCCGGCCTGTGAGGCACTTGTATAGTTGTATATTCTCGCATAGTCGTTTGTTTCCACGGGGTGTCGGGGAAATTCAAGGCATTAGGGGAATCAGCTGAGCGATATGAGCGAATGAGCGCTCAACAGGGAGGACGGTAGGACGGGCTCTGTGTAAGCATGTGTAGAGGAAAATGGCTTCCTGTAGAAGAAAGATGTCTTACTTCTTAGAACCTCCTAGGCAACGACAGACATCAGCTGTTAGCTGCGTTACTCCGCCTCTCGCTGACGGCCGTCTTACCGCGCGTTCCCCGCGCGCTCACTCGCTCGTGATCGTTTTATCAATTCTTGTAATAACTACTACCGGGCGAAATTCGGTTACACGACAGTTCCCCGCGTTCAGTTTGATCCCCGTTCTGCCTGAGCGTGCGAGAGCGTTGTGTGCCTTGAACTTCGCCGGACGCCCTGTATAGCGCTACTTGTCTCCGTTCGAAAGTGGGAGAAGGAACGAGGCTCCGCCGTAAGAGAGAGACTTTGCGCCGCGTCTCTTTTCTCCGAATAACTTAATTAACGTAAATGTGTTTTCTGAGAAGAGGAAATAAAAAAAAAAAGAAGCGATACGCGAAGAAGAATGCCTACCTAATCGTGAGTGTATATTTCGTGTATACTATCTAATGTATATTATTATCGTGGAAGCTTAGAGGTTTTATGCGATTATTAAATGATTAACAAAGAAGAAGGATATCACTAAGATTAACGGAATAGAAAGAGAGAGAGAGAGACCGATAGATCTTAAAGCCCCGTAATGGATATTATGTGAGCTCCTAGACCTAAGCTACTTTGTAATAATACGACGCAAATATGTACATAACGTATATCTCTTGTAAAATATATGATTGTTCTATCATGTGCGAAGAGAATCCTTCCTACATCGGGATAATAAAATATCACATATTATTAATAAGCGGTCTCTCGATCATTTCCTCCCCGTCCCCGCCGTCCTCCGCGAACGTACGAGTCCCCCTTCCCCCCCCCCCCCNTCAGTTTCGAGTCGAAGTTTTATCGCGCACGCGTTTTCCCCGATCCGCAGATTACGCGTTGTAGATGCCTGCGAGAGAATCCCCAGCACGCAATACGCGTCTCCATTTCTCTCTCGCTCATGCACACACACACACACACACACACACACACTCTTCATTTCGGCCCTGGCAGCTTTATAGATCGCGAGCGCGGTTCTTATTAATCACATTGATGTTCGCAAGACCCTATGCCGCGGGCTGCAATTCTGCTAATGCACTTGAAATTAATTAACGGTCAAAGCGACCGCGTTTCGTTATTTGAGTAGCCGCGTGTGCGCGTATCGATCTCGGACCATTAAGCGTATATTAATTACAAACTCGTGGTCGCCATAATCACGATGCAATGTCGCTACGGACGCCGCCGTTCTCCCTAGCGTCTAATTTTTCTGTCGCGTGAAACGCGCGGCGCGCATCCCGCGGCGATTACCCTCGTTTACTTAATTTCTAAAAACACCGCACGAGATCCGCGAGATAGCCGTGGCGAGTGGCAGGTATCTCCAAGGAGCGACCGAGTGTGCGTTGAACAATTAATTTAATTATTTATTTAATTATCCACCTGTGCGCGCAATAAAAGGTCGTCGCGTGGACGTCGCGATTAAGGACCCGGCCGAAGTCGCTAACGAGCGATCGCGCGCACGTATAAGCGTAATTTCGCAGATGAGGAGCCGGCCGTAGGAGATCGTAATCTCGATTGGCGGATTGATCCGCCGTGTTAGACCGGCAGGGTGGTCCATTAGAAGATCACAGGTGGCGCGGATACGCGCGCGTTACCGAAACGATAATGCGAACGGGCCGGGAAGGGAGAGAGGGGGACGTTAGCGGCGTGCACCTAAGTGGTCTAAACATCGCAACAAAGGACCCCACGGCGGGCGCAGAGGAGCCGGCCTGCACCTCCCAGGGCTGCTCTCTGTGCCGGACTAATTGGACAGATCGCGTACCTGTCTACCTTTTGATGGCGTAATCCGGCATCCTTTCTAACTCATCAAATTAACGAGCTATAACTAATCGGCCGTGCGCGCTCGGTCTTTGATGACCCCGTGCGCATAATCGGGCGCGCAAATCCTTCACGACTTTCTCTCTCTCTCTCTCTCTCTCTCCGAGGGGAGCGGTGGGAGGACCGGCTCGCGAAAAACAAACTTGAAAGTATCAGCCGGTGGCTTCGCACCAGATTCGCTCGTTCCAGTGCTCGACGACACCTGGACATCCCGTGGTTCGCGTTATCACGAGGAGTGACGAAGAAACGATCGTGCAAACGCTCCTCGACTCGCCGGCCTGCGCGAGAATGAAAGGAAATGGGCGTTATCTATTAATGGGAAAAGGACTTTTATGTTTGTCGGAATTTATACAAGGTGTCCGATAATTATCTCGGGATCCGCGATGCGCGGGTAGAACGGATTAAACTGGACAGGAAAATCATGCTGGGGAAAGTGTCCTACTATTGGATACCGTTTGTATTTGTTTAAATTTTGACGGGATTGTTAACAATTTTGGAAAAATACACTCTTTATATTGTTATTTTGTTATGCCCTTGTGCAATTTGTCATTATTTTTTTATTTAGAAGAGTTGTAAAATTATATCTTCAACAAAAAAAAAGATAATTTCTTACTTTCGACTATAAAGTTTTCTAATCCCGAGGTGGATTTTTAAATTCAAATAAGCTATAGTAAGTAGTATAGAAAATGAAATAAATTTTTAACACAATTTTATTTTTTCTTAATAAAAAAAAAATGAATTGCTAAAAAATAGAAACGCAAACTTAAAAGGAAACATTTTTCTACAAAAATAAATGAAAGAAGAAAATTAAAATATAAAGTTATATATGTTTTGAACATGAAATGAAACAGAATATTATTTAATAAATTAAATAAAAAAAACTTTGATAAATTAACTAAAATTAAAATAACAAATATTGAACAACCGTATTTTGCACTAAAATATTTTGCTCTTTGATAACGAGAGGCGCGTTTCTTTTCGCAGTCTTCTGTCACATGTCGTTCGCTGCTTGTTGCGTGTTATTCTCCCTGTAGACATCAGTTGATGCTCATCATTGTGCTAGGACCTTCGGAAGTAAGCCATTTTTCTTTATAAGTCCGACCTATTGTTTCCCGTGCAGCCCTTAGCTCGTACAGATTAATTAATTTCTCATGAATTTATTATAATTATTGCGATTTTTGCAAAATGGCACATGATTTTC